GACGGTGTTAGGTGGCCGTGGGGACGGTGTCAGGGTGGCTGTGGGGACAGTGTTAGGTGGCCGTGAGCCACGTGGTAGGGACAGAATGTAACCCTTGCTGTCTCCCTGCAGACAGCGCCCCCTCCTGGATCGTGGTGGCCATGGTCCTGGTGGCCTTGGTGCTGGCGGCCTGCCTGCTGCTCGCCGGCTGCTTCGCGCTGCTGTGGAGCATCTACAAGGGCACCAAGTACACGTTCTCCCCGGACAACGCGCTCCCGCAGCACCTGAAGGAGGTAGGCGTAAATGTTTGCCTTTTTTGTCATGCTTGTTGTTTTGGTTGAAAGAAAATATTGGCTGTATTGGGTAATAGGAACCAAGGTTTAAAAAAGCTTTCAGTATGTGCATTTATGATAATCTGACTAGGGTTTGAACTGTTTAATGTTTGCTGTAGCTGTAGGTCAAGCATGTCAAACTCAAAGGCTAACATGAGCCAAATAAACAAGGTTTAACTTTATGTGGGCTGCTTCCCTGTCAATGCCTATGCCTGGGTTGCAGGCTCGATCCCCAATAGGGGGCGTGCAGGAGGCAGCCAATCAGTGATTCTCATTATTGATGTTTCTCTCTCTCTCTCTCTCTCTCTCTTTCTCTCTGAAAAGAAAAAAAAGAGAAAGAGAAGAAAGCAGGGAACAGTGCCTCTAGGGTGCAGGGCAGCAGGATGTGGGGGCACAGAGCTGGGATGGTCATAGCAGCGGCCTCAGCCGGGCGGAGGCCCGGGAGCTGGGACGGCTCCTTGGAGGTGCCCTGTGCTGAGGGCAGAGGGCCTGTGAGCCCCACATCCCCCGGGGATGGGGGTGGCTACGCCCAGGAGGGGGACCTGTGTCAGCAGCCAGCAGGCTCTGGGCCCCCGGGGTGAGTGCCCCCCCCCCGCCCTCATCCCGAAGGAGGGAGGGCTGCACCTCCGACCATCCTTCCGGCCGACCGTGGCTGCGGCCTGTAACCTCCGCCTTCAGAACTGGGCGGGCGCCGCCGGGAGATGCCCAGTGACCCGAGTGCCACCCATGGACGCAGCCTTTCCTGCCCCTGGCGACCAGGGTGGCGACTCCGTTCCTTGCCGGCTGGTTTCTTGGCCGGAGGGGCCCGGCGTGAGGAGGGGCAGCCCTGAATTGGGGCCCCACGGGCTTCTGCTGTGTCTCCTGCGGGAACCCTGTCCACCAGAGGTCAGCAGATACTTTTAAAGGACCAGAAAGCAAATATTTTAGGCTTTGCAGGTCAAGAGGCAAAACCGAGATTTTATGTAGATATTTACATAACCACTTAAAAATAACCACTTAAAACTCCAAAGCTAGGCAGACCCTGTGGCTCAGGGGTTGAGCGTTGACCTGTGAGCCAGGAGGTCACAGTTCGATTGTGGGCTCCATCCCCAGTGTGGGGCGTGCAGGAGGCAGCCGATCGATGATTCTCTTTTATCATCGATCTTTCTCTTTCTCTCCCTCGCCCTTCCTCTCTCTCTAAAAAGCAATAACATAATTAAACAGTAATTTTTTAAAAAGAGAATCTTCTAGAGGCGAAAGGTGGAACCGCATTCGCAGCAGGAAAAACGCCTTCCTCTGGGTAGAAGGTACCTTGTAAATGTAGAACCAGAGGAAGCCGCACTATTGTGCTATTTTTGCTCTGGGCTTCGCCATCAAAGAGTCCGTTGGGCAGGAAAGGAAGGGTGGGGGCTCTGTGACAATCAAAGTGGAGCCCCCCCCCCCCGCCGCCTCCAGGGACAGCTCTGCAGACGTGACCAGGCACCAGCCCTGTAGCAGCTGAGAAACAGGGGGCGGGGGTGGGGGGGTGCTGCCGGACAAGGGCCCACTGGGGTCGGGAGCCCAGAAGCTGGGAGCAGGTCAGGCTCCTCCCAGGTGCTCTCCCCTGACTGCAATGCAGAGGGTTGCGCCCGCCCTCGGCCCCCCCCAATGCTGCAGGGCTGGGAGAGTTGCTGGGGTGGGGAGTTGCGCCGTGAGCTGCATGCAGCTGGGATGCACTGCACCACCACCAGCTCTGGGTCCAGCCAGCAGAGCCGCCTGGTGGGTACGCTCTTGATCACGTCTCCCCTGCTCTCGCCTCTGCCCCTTTTCCTAGAGAATCGATGCAGCGTCTAGTCCATTCTCTGCATCTCCGGGGTCTGAGGATGGGGGAGGGTCCCCTTTCCCCCAGCCTCCTCCCTGACACACCAGAGATCGGACATGCTTCCCTCGCCCTCCCCCAGGCAGATCCTGGGGCCACCCCAGTGGGTGGTGCAGCCGGCAGCTGAGATCAGTCACGTCAGGGCCGAGTGAGGTCACATCATGTTGCTACAACAGGTCAACTATCCATAATAACAAAAGCATAACATGCAAACTGACTGAACGACCGAACAGCAGAGCAACCGTCCGGGCGACCTTCCGGACGACCGTGCTGTGACAGACACTGGGCTGGCAGCCAAGGCGGGTGCAGTGCGATTGGTCATCGCTCCACGATCGCCCCACAGAGGAAGACCCAGGCCACCGGCCAGCACAGCCATTGATCCCTGAATCCCGGTCGGGTAGCCTGGACCTCTGCCGGGAGCCGGTCCATCCTTGCTGTTTCAAGGGACCTGGCATATATGGCATACTGTTCTTAATATGTTTGCTCACCTTCTTGGCGCTGTGTTTTAACCAAGGTCACCTCTCCGAGAAAGGTTGTTTCCCCAGGTAGGGATTTTCCCCTTAAGTTAGGGAGGGAATAAAACCTCTTAACTAAGTGCCAGGCGGGTAATTAATCACTTTAACTATGAACAATCACGCTTAAGCTACATAATCTTTACTCCCTGGACTGGAGATAAGAAACGCCCTCACCTTTGTAATAGAAATTGACAGGATTAAAATCAACTGGTATAAATACAGATGCGACAAGACAACAGGAGACAGAACTTACACACAGAACTCTAGAGACAGAACTTAGAAGACAGATTATATTTTAGCATATAATCCTCAGGAATTTTTAGACTTAGCTCATCATAAAAGTAAAGCAATTATTTGTTTGTGTAGAGCAGGGTCTACTAGCAACAGGCTGTGAAGCTAGCTGACTAATATCAGTTCCAACACTAACTAGCTTTCCCTCATTGTGCCAGTTTCCTCATCCTCAAAGTGAAGATAATTTTTAAAAGCTTAATGCGGAGCCATCGATCACGGAGCCCCACGATCGATCGCCCAGCAGAGGGAGGCCCAGGCCACTGGCTGGCAGTGCTGAGATAGGTGGGCAGGGCCTCTCTGTGCGGGGTGATGGATCTGGGGGCCCCGCAATTGATTGCTCCACAGAGAGAGGCCCAGGCCAGCCAAGCAGTCACACCCCACGCCTGTCACCCGCAGAGGGAGGCAACTGGTGGCTGGGGGGCAGGGAGGGGCGGACATGACTGCACAGATGGCAAGCAGTGGCAGCGGCGGGCTGGGAAGGAGAGCCCTGGTAGGCCCTGATCACCGGCCAGGCCTAGGGACCCTACCCGAGGGGTCCCGGATTGCGAGAGGGTGCAGTCCAGGCTGAGGGTCACCCCCACCCCACTCCCGTGCACGAATTTCATGCACCGGGCCTCTAGGTACGGAATAAAACCTCAACTCAGTGGGAAGTGATGGGTGGAAGGCTGGAAAGAGCCCAGGAACAGAGCAGACACAGGCCCCACCATGACGCACGGCCGTGAGGTGTCACCTTCAGGAGGGAAGCCAAGTGGAGCCAAACTCAGCCCCCATCCTCCTCCTTAGCAGCGACCTGTGCAGCCACGCGTCTGGGAGGGGCCCGCCGCTGGCCGAGGGGGGACCAGTGACAGGCTGGGACGGTGGGCGCGCAGAGCTCTAAAGAAGGTTTCTCTGCCTCCTTCCGCCTGCAGGCCTGGCGTTAGGATTTCAGGTCATCGTAAATTGGAAGTGATTTTCTTCCCTCAGAGAATATCAGGATAATGGGATTATCTGTTTGTTCTCTGAAATTTGCGGAATCAAACACTTAAAAAAAAAGGAGGCTCCTCCGTGTCCCCCTGGAGATGAAGAGCGCGGTGGCCCGCGGGGATGGAAATGCAGCCGCGAAGTCAGCAGGCAGTTCAGGAACCGAAGAGCTGGACCCAGGATGACCGGACGGTGGCCCCGGCCCGACGCGCCCCGGCTGCCGGGAGGAGTCCGTGTCCATAACATGCAGGGTGGACACACAGCGCAGGCCACGCGGGCTTTAACTTGCCAGGGGCCACCGTTTCCAAAGTGAAAGGGGCAGGCAACACTAGTTGTCACGTGTTGTGTGCGACCCAGCATGGCCGAAAGGCCTCGACAGGCAGCCAGGGTTAGGCAGTGACTGAAACACCTCCTTTCCCACCCGGCCTCGGAGCCTGGCGTGTGCTTCGCGCTCAGCGCACCTGCTGATGGGGACCAGCTGCGTTTCGGGTGGGCTCGTGGCTCCCCAGCTGGACAGGGGGACTGAGGGCCGGCTCCAGGGACACAGGATGCTGTGAGCACCCCAGGCCCTGGCTCAGCCTGAGGACACCCCCCCCGCACCCCCGCGCCCCCTCCGCTCCGCCTCCCTGATGCCCGCACGGCCCTGCTTCCTGGAGGAGATGGCGCGTGGGCTGTGTCAGGGCAGCGGCCGTGTGACCGGCGCCAAACCCCCTCCCAGGCACCTGCAGGCGGTCCCTCGGAAAATGAGGTGCCGATTTGTCATTTCTCTTTTTAATATATTTTTATTGACTTCAGAGAGGAAGGGAGAGGGGAGAGAGAGAGAAACATCAACGATGAGAGAGAATCACTGATCGGCTGCCTCCTGCAGGCCCCCCACTGGGGATCGAGCCCGCAACCTGGGCATGTGCCCTCACTGAGAATCCAACTGCGACACAGCTCGACACTCGACCGACCACTGAGCCACACCGGGCGGCAGGGCTGCCTTCCCTTCCAAGGCTGAATAACGTCCCTTGTGTGGATGGACCACACGTTGTGTATCCGTTCAGCTGCCAGTGGGCACCTGGGTTGTTTTTATCTCTTGGCTGCGGCCGCGAATGTTGCTGTGAACTTGGGGGTGCAGGTACCTCTTCGAGACCCTGCCTCAGGTCTCTGGGGGTCTCCCGGGAAGGATTGCTGGGTCACATGGTCACTAATTTTGTGAGGAACTCTCATACTGTTCTTGTCATATTTTTTAAAACTGCGTTTTCCAGGCCTAGAGTGTCGGCCTGCGGACTGAAGGGTCCCGGGTTCGATTCCAGTCAAGGGCACGTACCTCTGTGGCAGGCTACCCCCGGCCCAGGCCCTGGTCAGGGCAGGTGCAGGAGGCAACCAGTCGATGTGTGTCTCTCACATCGGTGTTTCTCTCTGTCTCTCCCTCTCTCTCCCACCCTCCCTAAAATCAATGGGAAAATATCCTCGGGTGAGGATTAGCTAACAAATAAACATAAAGCCGTGAGCTCTGAGCCCAGATCAGTGGGACTCCGGTCGGTCACTCGCTCTCCTCCTCTCCCTGCAGTTCCTGAGCCGCCCCCAGCACACCCGGCTCCTGCTCCTCTCCTTCCCGCCCTCGGACCAGAACGAGGTTTTCGACAAACTGAGTGTCGTCACCGAAGTCGAAGTCTCAGAAAGCAGCCAGCAGCCGCCGGGGGACAGCGGC